GTTCTGGTCCAACCAAACGTGTTATGATGTTTTTCCAATGATGGGGTAGTAGATCATGGGGTAATGGAGAGGTGTTAGCATTTCTGATTTTTCCTGTCTGGCACTCTGATCTCTTGGCTGATTATCCTCACTCCTTCTCTGTCAGGGACATCTTCTTAAGGACAGAGAAGATGGACCAAGCCCAAACCTTCTTGGGTCTGGTCAATCTACACACGAGCATCCACACCTTGATATCAAGATCCAGCAGCCCAACTCTTATGATAACTACTGTAACAGGAGCAGAATTAGCCCTCCAGGGTGGCCAGTATGCATCACAGCAGCCAGCGCTAAGGAACCACAGGCTAAATAAGACTCATAGCCTCTGTGTGTCTAAGGACACATACACACTGAGCACGTCTACACAAGATGCTTACTGCACATTACCCTAAAAACACTGCACAGTAGCGTTTTGCTACTGTGTTTGTGCTATTAGCACAGCAAAAACCGTGCTAATAGCTTACTGCTCACTGTTATTAAGCTGATGCACAGTAAGCATCACTAAATAACCATTTGCCGGTGCTACTGCGCAGTAACTTTAGGTACTGGGCATTTAGTTAGTACTTTATTAAGGAAGTACTGAACCAAATGTGCAGTATCTAAGGTGCATTAATGAACGTGTAAATGCGCCCACTGACCGGTGGGTTGTACTTCTACTGCTGGTGAAGGAGGAAAGGTAGTCTGTACTAGCAGCAGCCGAGTGAGCTGCTTATGCATGGAAAGGTTGATCAGGGGCTGTAACAGCTGGGGGAGAAAGGGAGCAGGTTTCTTTAGTTAGCTGCTGTTAGAGCCCTCCGGGGGCTGTGGGGAATCACTCCTGAATCATTGGGGCAGGTGGGTTCATTGGACTCTGCTCTGAATGGAAAGGAAGCGGGAGCTGGCATCTGGGCCCTGAGGTGGGAACAGTTCAGTTTTGAGGATGGGCAAGGACTGAGGAAGAAGCTTTGCCTGGTGCTCAGGCTGGAGCATGTGCAGCATTATTCTGGAATGAGATTCAACTCAATAACAGCAGCCCCCAGCCAGGGGTGACTTCCAGACTCCAGGCCAAGGACCTCAATTTGGTTTGGGGCTGAGGGAGGACTCCAGAGGCATTTTCATTGAGGCATGTGTCTGGAAGCAGTTGCACAGCTGCATTTTAGAGGAAGATCGCAAGTCACCTGAAGAAACTGCCAGCAAGGCCAAGCAAACCTGTTGCCTCATTTATCACAGTGCCCACAGATTCCGCTCCGAGACAGGAAAAATGGCAATAAATAGCCTGCCAGGACAGCTCTGCTGTATGCTGAGTATTTTCATAAGTACACCAGGTTTTCCAAAGGCCAGTACAGGCTGTCGGTTCTTCACATAGCCAAAAAATCCAGTTGTAATTTGCATGTGCAGTGATGTGTGTAGATATAACAATACACACATGTTCTTGCAGCCAGATCCACACAGTGGAATACATCAGTCGCTGGGTACATACAGACATCGCTGCTGCCAGCTAAGTGCAGGTGTTAAAGCAACGATGATTCTCAACTGTAGCACCCTGGGGTGCCTTGAGATCCCTTCAGGGGTGCTTCAGGGTGCTGCACAATGTTAGCACTGTTAGATGTGCAAACATGATTCATAAGATATACCTAGAGATTGCAAACAGGAAGTCATAGGGTTAAAACCATTCTGACTTGTTGAGGTCTTGCTGAGTTCTTTGCAATGGAAAAAAAACTGCTCTATTATTTTTCTGTAGTCAAAAAAGTGTGACAACTAAGAGCTGACATTTGCCAAGAGTGCCGTCGGTTTATTGAGGGGTGCCTGGAATCCATCAAGGAGTACCTTGAATCTAAAAACGTTGAGAACCACCATTAGATAGAAACTTTCACTCCAGAATCACTGAAGCTAGCAAAATATCTTACATTACACCCTGGTGTGTTAAGGGTCTCCTGCATAAGCTATTGCTCTAGAGTGTAACACAATCACATGCTGTGACCTGGTCTCTGCCTTCACTGGACAGATCACAATGCTGCGTGTGCTCTGTATAGGAAGTAATGTGGCATGCACAGCTGCCTCCCACTTCTACGGGCACCCATGGAACTCATACTTCATTCACATACAAAGAGACCTGCATATTCCCACAGGCACAACCCTATCTTTTCTTGCACAAACACACATGCACAAATGCACATACTTGTATCCTGACAAGCAGACTCATTTGCGAGCAACATCAGCGATCCAACGTATACACATAAACACAGCCATGCAACTTCCTCGCACAGACACATCTAAGGCCCAAAAGCTGGTGCTGGGTTTTTTTTTAATTCCTCCTGAAGACAATTAAATGTGAGATGATGAGAGAGTTTCTGGTCTCAAGTGCCCTTGCTACTTAACAAGGGGGTGGGGTCCTCTCCCAGTGGCTCTTAGCAGATCCTTTTCCATCTTCTTTATAACCATTTCTCATGGATATCTTATTCTCTAATCAGTACCATATCCAAGTACTTGGCTATGATTTTTATCTGGATTTTCTCTTTCAGATGTCTAGAGGAAGCTATTTAATAAAACTATATTTAATGCAAAAGGTTCCAAGCCAGCCGTCTCCTTCCCTTTTTCCTGCTCATAATTCCAGCTGAGGCTACACAATGCAACTCAGGGAAGAGAGCAAAAGCAGACAGAACCATCCTCAGAAATGCCTTGGTGTTGGGGGCAGTGAGACATCCAGGCACTGAAAGGTAAGAGTAGTACTTCCCGTTCTTATGGAGCATTGAAGACCCCAAGGCAAATGAGAAACCGTGTTTACAGTGATCAGTTTATTCAGCTACCAAATTGCAGCCACCTCTGGTGTGCAGTGCAGTAACTCGCTGCAATGCTGTGTATCATAGTTTGGGCAAGGAACTGAGAATGAATCTTTTAGACATGGGCCTGTTCTCACTTAAAGCCTGGCCCTATTCCAGAAGTTAATCATAAATTGTTGAAGTTAGATATAAAGACTTGAATTGGCTGTTGTATTAAGGCATTGAGATATCAGTGTAAATTTGGACCCCAGGGTCAGTTTTGTTGGACAGGTAAACAAAGACTTTCCATAAGGTTGCTGAATCCATATAGAACCGATCAGACATCAGAAAATCATCAGCCTAGAGAAAACATGTTCATGGCCATCTCTGAGAAAACTAATGCCATATATATAAAGCTCAAGGAATCAAATCTGCAAATGACTTAAAAAGATTTCAGAATCCATAAAGATATATGTATATTATACATATATATCTTACATGCATACATACATATATATGTATCCATACATGTACATATTACACACATACGTATGCATCTTGTAATGTTACACATTCTGTGTTAGATTAATTAACATAGATAAAAGAATACACACGTGCACACACATTTTTACATATGTATACATGTGTATATGTATATGTAAAGGTAAGTATCAAGTTACTAACATAGAAACGTTCATGCTAAATTTTAGAGATGGCCAAAACTGCCAATAAGGTTTTGAGAGAAATTTATTCTTTTTAGATGTTCTTTTGCCTACATTTTTGAGGAAAATAATATATTTCAATAAAAAAACCCCAAACCCCTTGTTTCAGTTTCTTTGTTTCCTTTCCTCTTCCTTTTTCCATTTTGCTTATTTGCCCATGACAAAATGAGTGGGAATAGAAAGAGGAGAAACAACAAATGTTTAAATGATTTGGGGGAGGCTTTTTCAGCTTTTAATTCAAAAAGTGAACAAATGTCAAGGGCATATATGTATATGAAAATGTGCCTTTTAAAAGAAAAAAGGACATTTTGAGATGAAAAGCATTTGTCATGGGCAATTGGACAACCTCTGTGAAGTTCTGGAATTGTGAGCATGCCCGATGTGAATGCCCAGACCATATCCTATATATTATATGGGATTACACAGACACATCTATACAGTGATACATGGTTCTTTCCATATGATCTCCTGATTGTAACATTGGCCTTTCCCTATGATCTCCTGATTGTAACATTGGCTGGCTACTTCCCTGTCATTGCAGTAGCACTGCATTGATAGTAACCTAATCTCCTCTGCTTTTTTTTACCTATGGCATGTAGAGCAGAGGTTCCCAAACTTTTTCTTATTGCATCTCCTCTTCCAGATTTACCAGCTGTCTGCATATCCCTACCAGCATACGTTTTATATTTTAACACCTTAAATTCCCATTATTCTCATAATGAAAATTAAATCTGCCATAATACACAATACATACCTAATTTCTCTCGCGTACCCCCCAGAGATGTCTTGCATACTCCCAGGGGATCCCCTGTTATAGAGTGTTCTTGGTGTTTTGGCAATTGGTCCTCATAGTTACAGATAAGGGTCTGACATGGTGATTTTGATGGTTCCTTTAGTTAATGGAAGCCAAAGGGCTGGACACAATGGCCTAGGAGGCCCCTTCTAGTTTCATTTCCCTATGTACATCTCTGCTTAGATGGGTCCTGCCTGTATCCTGACAACATACCTCCATCCATACAGTCTAGATCTAGGTCATGTATATCAGGCAGCGTACCCATGTATATTGGGTACACACCGTGTGCACACAATCTATGTACACCCACAGGGAGGCACCTGGGCATATTGAGATGTCTGAGCCAACTCAGACTGAGCTGAGCGCTCACCCAATTAATGAAAAAATTCTGTGCCTCCTCTCCTGACAAACCCAACTCCCAAGTACTTATTCAACATTACAGATGAGGGAATGAGGCTGACGTGAGGCAGAAGATAACTAGCATTTCAAGTACTCAGGGCAGGTAAACACCTGCTTGCCATGCAGACCTCTGTGCTCCTTTCGAGTGATAATCAGCCCACACAGAATTACCTTGCCCAGAGGCACCCAAGCCAGCGAATGCCTTCCCATCCCGGAGAACTGCAGATACAGGTCACAAGGTCACTGCAGCTGAGCTGAGGAGGAACAAAGTCCAATCAGAACAGACTCTCCACTTTAAACTCTTAGCTGGGTGTTTTGTATTCCAGCCTGGGCCCTGGAGCACACGTTCTGCGACAGGAGGTAATAAAACCTGTTTATTCTGGATGCTGGCAGAGTGGGGGGCTCATTTTTATCGTACAGAATTAAAGGGCTTGCAGCCAGGGCTGCACAACGGGTTCCCCGCATCAGTTAACACCCCACACACAAACCAAAAGATGTCTTTTAAGTGCACAAAAATTTCCGCCTGGCATTCAAGCAAAATTGCACTGGTGCAAGTGAGCATTGAGAGCGATGTTTCCATTTGGGGTTTGGGCAGCAGCTGGTTCCCTTTCACACTTTGTACCCACTTGGCATGGAAGCCAATGGCTGCACAGGTCCAGAACAGTGATGAATTTGTGTTTGTCTTTATGCCATCTCGGAGCAATCTGGGCCTGCTGAGAACTGGTGTCCATGAAGCCACAAAAACCAACAAAGAGAAATCCAGCCTCAGTGCTTGCTTCTGCCTGATATGAATGAGACTCCAGGCTCATCCTGGCCTATTCTTCATTCTACCCAGTCATTTTAACTTGGTGCCTATTTCCATTTCATGTGGATGTTAGCATGGAGAGAGTTACGCCATGGGTGCGACTGCACCCCCTGTGCTGGAATTCGGAGAGGATGGAAGGTCCACAGCAAGTGATCTTGTCTATGGGAAGGGGGCTGGTAGCACAGCGAGGACCCACTTAGCAGATGTACATCATGATGCTAGCACCCACCTTGCCTACATGCCACTTGATGCCAATAAGAAAGGTGCCCATTAGCTAGCTACATTCAGAGCACTAGACAACTGGAGAGGTGCCCATCTGCTGGTTAAATTTCTCCCCTCCCTGTAACTCACCCCATTGTGGGTCTCAAAGCAACACGATGGCCAAGACCCCTCATGCAAAAGTCCGCCTCTCCTCCTGCTTTGCTTTCGCACGGCCTGAGCATTGTTTCCTCAGTCTGTGCTGAGAGCGGCATACGGCTGCCACAATTAAGGCTATCTAGGTTTCTGTTTAGCTGCGGGACAACATTGCTGAACACAGGACTTTGATCTTATTTCCTAAGAGTTTTTTTCTTTCCCTTTTCATGTGTGTTTTTCCCCATTTTTTGTCTCATTACTCAGGTGAATGCTGATGTTCCTGAAGGCGCCCAGAGCCAGGCCCATCGCTCCGGTCCAATCCAGGATGCTGAAGTCCCGGTTACCCCCCCACCCATTTACCTACCCCCACGACAACCTCAGCCACCGTAACCTGGAGGCCTGGGATGAGATATAATTTGGTTTGTGAGCAAGTTTGTTTGTGGGCCTCTCCTGAGCAAAGGCTGCCAATTATATTCAATGTGCTGAACTCTGTCAGATTAGGTTCTTGTCATGGAAAAGAGGAGGGTGCTTTTTTTCCCCCCTTTCTATTTTAATAGCATTTCAGAGGGACCCTAAAGACGGAGTTTGGGGGATGGTGGTGAACGCTGCTTTCAGGCATCCTTCATATTTCTCTCCTCTCCCATGCAACCTCCCCCAGACCCTCATCCCCTTGCAGATCTCATGCACGACATGCATGCAGCTATTTTGAATGCGTGACTGATACACGGGCAGACAAGGTTCCTTGGGTGAATTTGATATCTTTTATTAGACCAACCCAAATGGTTGGAGAATAGTTATTAAGCAAGGTTTCGGGTTCAAAAACCCTTCCCTTGACTGATACATGTGCACACCATTGTTCTTTATGGAACGCAGTCAGTGCCACTCGACTCCTTGTCCTAAAGTCATTCCCAGCCAGGTTCCTGTGGCACCCCGGTGTTCAGTGAGAGCCTTTTCAACGTGCTGCGGGGTGCTGCGCAATATCAGCACTGTTAGATGTGCAAATGCCGACATGTGATTCACAAGATAAACCCAGAGATTTCAAATAGGACTCCACCGGGTGAAAAGCATTCCGACTTTTTGTGGCCTTTCTGAGTTCTTTGCTACAGAAAAGGGGCTCTATTATTTTTCTGTCGTCAAAAAACAAGTGAAAATAGTTTGTGAAATGGGGTGCCACTAAATTCTGTAGAGCTATAAAGAGGTGCCTCGAGTCTGAAAAAGGTTGAGAACCGTTGTCCTAAACCCTCCATCGCTCGCAGAGGTTCTGCTTTAGCTCAAGCAATAGCAGGTTGGACTTGGGAGGAGGGAAGACCTAAGCTCTTTCCACGCTGTCACTACAAACGTCGTCGTGGCCAGAGTATACAGCACAGTGACAGTTAAGATTGGAGTTTTACAGTACAGTCGCAGATTAAATGCAACATCTTTCCCCTTTGATATAAGGTGTGACCTATGCCCAGATATATCTGAACTAGACTCCCCTTTCTGAATGATCAGGGTTTGATGTTCATGCCAAATATAGGAAAAAAGGCCGCCAAATTGACCTATTCATTCCTTCCAGGTACAGCACACACACCAACTGCAGATGCTTCCTCAGCCTGATGAAAGGTATTTATACCTGAAAGCTTGCAAAGAAGAATCTTTCCAACTATTTGAGCTGGTCCAATAAAATTTACCAGATTTATTTTGTCTGCCTGTGTCCTTAGACCAACGTGGCTACAACCGATACCTCCAAATTGACCTCACTTTTACAGCGCATGTATCCTCAGGTGGCAGTTTCCTTGGCCTTGTTGTCGTAATTAGAGATGTGTTTCAGCTGTTGAAGGGAGACAGCTTTTGCTGGATGTTGGGGAGTGCATTGTTGGGAACAATGAATTTCGGGGAGGCACAGAACAAATTCTGTGCTTGGAAAGGAGTCAATGCAAGGCTTCAGGATGTGACTGAGGGAGGAATTCAGGCCTAGGTGAGAGGCAGGAGGGTCTAGGCTTGAGGTCATTGCAATCAACAGCCTAGAAGAGTTTGGGGATGGGTGGACAAACTGTTCACCACAAAGTAGTAGCTGAAGCTAAACTGTGGTCACGTCCCCCTCTTCTAGTGGGGACCAAGCTACCGCAGTTTAGCTTTTCTTCTCTTGTAGGGTAAAGGCGGGCACACAGGCAGTTACCAGGGAGCAGGTGATGCGTGTGGCCTTGGGTGGGTGGCTTCATCTCTGGTTGCCCTTATTTAAACCCCTGTAGAAAGGCAGCTAATAACACCTACTTCAATGAGGGGGCATAGGAAGGGACAGTGTTGAGACATAAGGATTTATTAAGCCACTTTGTCCTTCATAGCACCTGCATGCCTCATAATCCCATAACATATATGATAAATTCTCAGGACTACTCTTCTACCCATCATGGGTGTTATTATTATTGGTCCATTTTTCACAACTTATCTGTGAGGCAGAGCAGAGCTCTTATCCCCATTTTACAGATGGAGAGCTGAGGCATAGAGAGGTAAAGGAATGGGTGGTGAGATGGGACGTGACCTCCCTGATCTCCCAAGGCCTATGCTGCTGTTCTACTTGCTGGACCCGCCTTCTTCTCTTCTTCCAAAACAGTGTCCATCAGCAATGGGAAATGGCAACTTTTTGAATGCAAAGAACAATTAGGATTTTCCCAATTGTTAGAGCTTTTCGTTTTTAAAGACTCCCTGAGCTAAGTTAACCACACTCATTAAATATCGGAAATTGCCCAAGAGCTTTGAAGGTTTCAAGTCTGCCCTCTCTGCATTCAAGTTGGGACATTTTCTTGTGTCTCAGTACAGTTCCCAGTGAAATTACACACGTGGGGTTAACCTCCCTGGGAAGTCATGTCTTGTAGACTCAAGAATATGAACCTCTGATGCCTGGGCAGGAAAAGCTGCGTCTGTTAGTACAAAGTCAGTAGCCAACAAATAACACTTTTGTGCTGGCCAGCTCTTGAGGGACGCCACTATACAATCCTGGGTTACTCTCTTGACCAACTTCATTGTTATCAGACTGATTATTTGTATGACTAGCATCATGGGACCCTCGCCATGGACCTGTGCCCCATTGTGCTAGGCCCTGCACAAACTTTACAAAGGTTAGCAGCCTTCAGTTGGAGGATGACTACTCACAGGCAACGAGATAGGTGTTGCTGACATACTTAAGCCAAAGGAAGACAATGCACAATTTTGGCATGTGAACAGTACTTGGCATTGAGCCAGGAAATCAAAGCCCCCTGCCCCAAATTTTTCTCTCTTTAAATATTAGAATTCCCTCCTTAAACAGGCCAGGCATTCATGCAGCCATAATCTCTAAGAAGACCAAGCTCTGATTAAAACTCTAGTGTCGAGTGAGGCGTAATCCTTGCCACCTCGGGGCCATTTTATTATTTTTTTAGCCATTAAAAACTGTTTTCTCTAAATGAAATAAAGAAAGGAGGAGGAGATAACAAAACTCATTGCTTTTTCATATATATATATGAAAGAAGGAAGAAAAATTTTACATTTAAAAAAAGTTAATAAATGGCCAGGCCCCAACAGATGGGTGTGTATGTGCAGAATTTGCATTTTTCAGATTAACATGCACGAGCGAAGATAGAAAACGCACTCGCCCCTGGGGAAATAATTTGAGAAATCTTTGCATATTTTATTTAAAAGCATGCCGCGTTAGGCAGGGTAATAATGCAGAGCACTGGTGATTAGGTTAGGCCTGGAGGGATCGCAGCCTGGGACTCTCCCTCCCTCTCTCTCATCCTCCCTTCCAACTCCCACCCCCTCCTTCCTTGTTTGACTCCCCCAACCAGGCTGGGTGAAGAACTATTAGACATGGAGGTGTTACTCCCATGGTTTAACACACATCCCTGCTAGTGGGTATGTCCATAGGCTCTACCTAAGCCCCCTTTCAAATCCTAATGGAGGATGTAGGTGGGGGAAATACAGGGTCCTTCTATACGGAGAAGATGACATTTGTCCCTTTGCAGAGAGGTCAATGCAAGGCACAGCCACTACTTTTATCCCACATCAGCCCAGATTTAAACAGTGCTTAAGTCTTAAAATGGGGCTTCAGATGAGCTTAGACTTCATGCCAACCTCTGCTCCATGGCTATTTCACCCTTGTGTGAATGTTACATTCAGTGCCCAACTCTAGCCCAAAATAAGTGACCTAGGAATCCCTTCCTGTGCTTTAAGCTCACCATCATCACCAGTGGGGAGGCCAGTTGAAACCAACAGGACTGACCCCAAGCTCTTGAGAGCTCCCAAGAGCTCAGCTCGGCCTCTCAGCAGGCTTCAGCAGGGAGGGGAGCCTGGCACTGCTCCTTGGGAGAAGCTGAATTGCATGTGCCATTCATAGATTCATAGATTGTGGGGCTGGAAGGGACCCCGGAAAATCATCAGGTCCAGCCCCCTGCACCAAGCAGGAAAGATAACTGAGGGTCAGGTGACCCCAGCAAGGTGACTGTCCAGTCTCCTCTTGAAGATCTCCAGGGTAGGTGATTGCACCATCTTTGGAGGGAGCTTATTCCACAGTCTGGACACCCTGAATGTGAAGAATTTTTTCCTAGTGTAAAGCCTGAAACAGTCTTCCAGGAGTTTGTGGCCATTACTCCTGGTTTTCTTCTTGGGTGCCTGGGTGAACAGTTGCTCACCGAGCCCTTGATGTCCTCCCCTGATGTAGTGGTCAGCTGCTACCAGGTCCTCTCTCAGCCTTCTTTCCCCCAGGCTGAAGAGTCCCAGGTCCCTCAGCCTTTCCTCATATGGCTTGCTTTTTAAGACCCTTATCATATGGGTGGCTCTTCTCGGGACTCTCTCAAACTTGTCCATGTCCTTGTTAAAGTGTGGTGCCCAGAACTGGATGCAATCCTCCAGCTGCAGTCTCACCAGTGCTGAGTAAAGCAGAAGAATCACCTCCTTGGTTTTGATGGAGATGCATTAATTGATGCATGCCAGAGTATTATTTGCCCTGCTGGCTACAGCATCGCACTGCCAGCTCATATTCATACTGTGGTCTATTATTACCCCCAGGTCCCTTTCATTCGTGGTGCTGGTCAGTTTGGTGCTGCCAAGGCTGTAGGCGTGTTGGGGGTTGCTCGTCCCGAGGTGGAGCACTTTACATTTCTCAACGTTGAACTTCATCAGATTCCAACCCATCCAACTTGCCAGCCTGTCTAGGTCTTCCTGCATCACTCTGTAGCCTATCTTCAAGCGTGACCATGCTCCCCCATCACTTCGTGTTGTCTGCAAACTTGGCCAGTGAGCTCTTCCCCCCACATCCAAACCATTAATAAAGATGTTGAAAAGTACTGGACTGAGCACCAATCCCTGTGGGACACCACTGCCAGGATGACACCGATCCATTCACTATGACTCTCTGGGTCCTATCCTGTAGCCAGTTTCTCACCCACCTGGCTGTCTTGGAGTTAAGCCCACAATCCTCCAATTTTCTCATGAGGACATTGTGGGATACTAGATCAAAGGCCTTTTGGAAGTCAAGGTATACAATGTCAACCTGCTCTCTCATGTCCAGGTGGTGAGTTACCTGGTCATAGAAGGAGATGAGGTTGGTAAGGCAAGACCTGCCCGCGACGAAGCCATCCTGGCTGTCATTCAGGATCTTGCCTTCTGCAAGCTTATCGCAGGTAGACTCCTTGATGAACTTTTCTAGGCTTTTCCCCAGCATGGAAGTCAGGCTGATTGTCCTATAGTTACCCAGGGCCTCCCTCCTGCCCTTCTTGTGGATGGGCACAACATTGGCCCTCTTCCAGTCCTCAGGGACTTCTCCAGAGCACCGTGAGTGGTGGAAGAATTTCACCAGGGGCTCCTTTGGCACTCTCAGATGAAGATCATCTGGTCCTGCTGACTTGTATATGTCTAATTTTTTTAATTGGTCATACACCAATTCAATGGCGATAGTAGGAAGGCAATTACTCCTACCGTGCTCATCCTGTACTCTATCTGGCATGGTTTTCCCCTTGGTCCGGTGAAAGACAGAGGCAACGTAGTCATTTAGGAGTTCAGCTTTCTCCTGGGTACCGGTAACCAGCTCTCCTGAGTTGTTGAGCAATGGCCCCCCACTCCCATTTGTTTTCCTCCTGCTCCCTATGTGCCTAAAGAAGGACTTCTTGTTGTCCTTAATTCCCGTTATGATGCAGGTAGCAAATTTACGCCTGAGTGGTTACTGCACAGTAATGCATGTATAGACGCCTTACTGTGCAGTAACCCTGTGTGTGTGGACTGACTTGGGATTAACTTTAGTCCAAAGTCAGTCCACACACAGCATTACTACACTGTAACGCCTGCACATGTAGACACCGGTGTAAAAACCGCTTACTGTGCAGTAAATTACTGCACAGTAAATGCACATGTAGACATGCCAAGTGAGGCACACTAAGGTCGGAACAAACCCCCTTAAGCATTCCTTAAGAAGAGGCTAGAGAGGTCAGAGTTTCAGCCTTTGGATGGAGCATTTGTCGTAGACTGATCTTGATATAACAACCCTCAAAATGTCCCAGATAGCCACCATCACCAGTTATTGCTTTGCCCTTGTCTTCCTGCCCCTGTATTATCAAGTCATTACTCCTTTGGGAAGCAGT